TGTCCTGATCTCTGGATTTGGGATTTCTCTTTCCAAATCCCACACAGGGATTTGGGATTTTCTTCCATGGATTTCTTTGGGATTCCTGGAGTTTCTCCTGATCCCATCCAGGGATTTGGGCTTGGAATTCTCCCATCCCTGGATTTGGGATCCCTGGATTTGGGATCCTTGAATGTGAGATCCCTGGATTTGGGATTCTCCTCTCATCCCTGAATTTCTTTGGGATTCTCCTCCCATCCCTGTGTTGATTTGGGATCCCTGGATTTGGGATTCCCATCCCTGGATTTCTTTGGGATCTGTCTCTCCTTTTCCAATCCATGGATTTGGGATCCCTGGAATCTTTCCTTGTCTCATCTCTGGATTTGGGATTCCCTCTCTTTCCTCACCCCATCCCAAATTCCCAAAATCCCTGGATTTGGGATCCCTGGATTCTGTCCTGATCCCTGGATTTGGGATCCCTTCTCTTTCCAAATCCCATCCCTGGATTTGGGATTCTCGTCCCTGGATTTCTTTGGGATCCCTGGAATTTTTCCTTTTCTCATCCCTGGATTTGGGATCTCTGCAGAGTGCCCAAAAATTCCACCCAAAATCTTGGATTGCAGAGCTGGAAAATTCTGGAATTTCCCCAAAATCCTGCCAAAAATTCCCAGATTTCCCAAAATCCTGTAAATATCCCGGATTTCCATCGGAATTCTTTTTCTGGGAATTTTTTCCCAACAATTCCAAGTTTTTATAGATAATAATTTGATGGAATTTCGAGGATTTAATCGGATTTTTTTTCATCCTTTCCTCGCTCCTGGGAATATTTGGATCCTGTTTTTCCAGAGGTTGGGAATGCTGCTCTAATTAGGATATTTAAATATGCAAATGAGATGCAAATGAGCTGCCGAAATAAATTTCTTTTTTATTGCGGATTTTACAAAAATAAATTAAAAAGAAATAAATTAAATCCCCCTTCCCCCCCCCTTTTTTTTTCCCTTCCTTTCCTGGAATTCCCACAGAATTCCCATTCCAAGGAAAAAAAAAAAA